TAAGGAATCCCTCCCACTCAGATCAATTCTCTGCCAGCTTGCCACTCTCCTGAACAGTTCCATCTCTAGAATCACTCAAAGAAATGCATACTCTGGCTGAAATGACCACCACTTAGTCATTTCTCTCGGGCAAAGTTTTATTTCCAAAAGGTCCATATCAAAAACCCAATATCAATATATCAGAACAAATGATGGGTAGCGTCCTAGTTTTATTTCTGTTGCTGTGGTAAAATAACTGGACAAAAATCAACTCATGAGAAAGAGGTTTATTTTAGCTCACAATTCCTGGTCACAATCTATTACTACAAGGAAGTCACAGCGGCAGGAGCTTGAAGCAGCCGGTCCCATCACATCCACAATCAAACCCAATATCAATATATCAGAACAAATGATGGGTAGCGTCCTAGTTTTATTTCTGTTGCTGTGGTAAAATAACTGGACAAAAATCAACTCATGAGAAAGAGGTTTATTTTAGCTCACAATTCCTGGTCACAATCTATTACTACAAGGAAGTCACAGCGGCAGGAGCTTGAAGCAGCCGGTCCCATCACATCCACAATCAAGAGCAGAGAGAAATGGATGCATCCATGCTCACTTGCTCAGATGCTTGTGCTTAGCTCAATTTCTTCAGTCTCAGTTAAGGACACCCTGCCTAGGGAATGATGCAGCCCACAGTAGGCTGTATCTTCCCACATCAGTTAAGACAATTTCCCACAGACATGCCCACAGGTCAACCCAATGTACATCTCTGTGAGTTCAAGGCCAGCCTGGTCTACATAGTGAGTTCCAGGCCAGCTGGAGCTATAGGGAGACTCTATCTCAAAAAATCCAGAAAAAGAAAATAAATAAATAAATTTTATAAAGATGCTCAGCATCGTCTATCAGTAGATAATTGCAAATTAAAGCAACAATGAGATACTACTACATTACTTCATTACTGTCTAAAATCCAAAACACTTCCAACAGCAAATGTTGGCAAGAATCTGAAGCAAGAATTCTCATTCACTGTTGGTGGGAATGCAAGATGATTCAGCCACTTTGCAAGACAGCTGGGCGGTTGCTTATAAAACTAAACATACTCTTACCATACGAACAAGCACTCACGCTCCTTGGTGTTTACACTAAAGAGTCAAAAAGTTGCTTCTACACAAGTATCTGCACATGAATGTTTACAGCAGCTTTATTTGTGCTTGCCAAAAGCTGGATGCAACCAAGATGTCCTTCTGTGAGTGGGTAAATACGTTTTGATACATCCAGGCAATGGAAATAACATTCACTGCTAAAAAGAAATGAACTAGCAGGCCAGGACAAGCCACGCAACAAGCTTAAATGCATCATCTTAAATGGGAGAACTCAGTCTGAAAGGCTGTGGACTGTTTGCTTCCAGTTATATGGCATTATGGATAAGGGAAACTAGGGAGACTAAAGGACCAGTAGTTGGCAGGGGTGGAGAGAGGGAGACTCGAATAGCAGAGGAGAGAGGATTATTTGTGTGTGTGCAGGTACACGTATATGTGTGTATGTGTGTGTGTCACTGGGCTGTGGCTACGTAGAGTTCTACCCTGAGAACAGAATTACCCCACAGAGAAAGCCCAGCTAGGCTCAGTGCACAAGAACTGGGGGCCCCCTTTTGGGTTGCCCCAGCTCTGCCATCACCAAAGTTCTCATTTTGATCCCTTATTTGAGGTCTGGAAACTACTTCTGGATTGACCACAGATTCAAGGGGGAATAGGTATTTGAGGATCAGTTTTAGATCTATGGGCATATCTGTAAGAGATTGCCTTTTATTGCATTAATTAATGTGGAAAAAGTGAGTGGCACCTTTCCCTGGGTTTGGGTCCCAGACTGTATAAAAGAGGAGAGGGTTAGCTGAGTATAAGCCTGTGTGCATTCATTCTCTGCTCTTGACTGTGGATGTGACATGACCAATTCCTTCAAGTTTGTGTCACTGTGACATTTCCCCCTATGATGGGCTGTAACCTGGAACTGTGGGCTGAAATAAACCCTTTCTTCCCTAAGTTGCTTTTGGTCAGAGTATTTTATTGCAGCAACAAGAGAGGAAACTAAGACAGGGGTCTTCAATGCCAATGACAGAGTTTCTGTGAGATGCTACTAGGAAGCAATTCAGGACAGTTGAAAGGCAGTGTGAAGGGGCTGGAGAGATGGCTCGGTGGTTAAAAGCACTGGTTGCTCTTACTGGGGTTCAATTCCCAGCACCCACATGAAAGCTAACAATGGTGTGTAACTCTAGTTCCAGGGGAATCCAACACCCTCTTCTGACCTTCATGGGCACTGCATGACATGGGCGCACTTACATACATGCAAGCAATAGACTCATACACATAAAATAAAAATAATAAATATTTTTTTAAAAAAAGAAGATATAAGCTGGGTG